GGGGAGGGGGTGGGGGGGGGGGGGGGGGGGGAGAACGAGCTTGCGTCCAGTGCGTGATATATGTTTTTATTATTTATTTTTTTAATGGATTTCTAATACATTTTTTAATTATCAAAATTTAATGTAAACGAGATTACTGTAACATCGTTAAGATTTCCCAGAATGGATACAAGTAGGTCGGATTACTAGATTGACGGGGTCACTTCCTTCATAGGTTTTACTATGATTTATCAAGTGGCAGGATGCGTTATATGTATACTTCATTGTCAAGTGCCACTTTATCACACACTGTGTAACACAAGAATTACTATATTTAAATTACGAACGCTCCTGGGTGATGCATATGGTTATTCGAATCTCATTGTTGCGTCGCGAATATCGTTTAATAGCTTTGCGACAGAATTATACTCGATCTCGGTGGTAGCAGTCGCGGCGGCCATTTTAAGATTTAAGGTTTAAGGCAGTGTTAAGAAAAAGCCGCGAAAATTCGAAATGTTCTCTTTCTGTTTCAGTAACCTCTGGGATCCAACACAAATATCTAATATTAATAATAATGATACGGTCGATTACTTTAAATGACAGTGAGAATGGGACGCGCCATGCCGCACGAGAACTGCGTCGCAAACTGTCGACGCAGCTCTGCCGCGCGACCCGATGACAGTACGAGTAATAAAACCAGGAAGTCGTCGCGACGCGAGTCGCAGCCGCTGCCGCCATCGTCGCCACCATCGTCGTGCGCCCTTGTGAACATCATCGGGCCATTTTGTCAAGCTTCGTAACCGCCGTATTAAATATGTACCGCGAGCCCATCCTCGTCGTGGTGTCGTTTCTCTGTATTATTCGGGAGCGACACGCGTCTCTATTGGGCGATAATGGAGGCCTCTGCTCTTCTTTATTTTATTTTTTACCTTTAACGTCAAAGCTCCCTAGCCTAGAACGAGAACTGAGGGCAATAAAGAAAGGAAAGAAAAAAGATACCCAATCAATAGACACGTACACGCGCGCGCGTAACAAGACCAATTATTAAGAATTGCGAGAAGAAAAATGCATAAGTCGACACAACATCCGTATTCGCAGAGTAGTATGTTTTGTGAATGTGGAATGGATCCAATGAATACTTTGCCAAAAAATGGAAAACGAAAAAGTATCGTTATTTTTTTTCTTAATTTCTTTCTCTTTCTTTCACTTACCACTCTGACTTTTTTGCTATATCTTTGGTGATACACATTTACAGTTAACGGACGCACATCTACATTTATTATACGGTACTCCTGTGTGCGAGGGCGGGAGGGGCGAAGGAGGGGAGTGGATAAGAATTATATCCGTACCGTTATAAAAAAAGTGGTTGTGATACTACTGTATTATTACGTATACCATCCACTTTTTTCTAACGCCGATGGCAGCCCTCCCATACTTTTTGGAAAGGGATTGCTTTTTTTTTTTAAGGTATAGCAAAGTTCAGGGACGTATCGATCGATCGATCTAGAAAATAGGGAGATACTCGCTCTTGATACAGTAAAGAAAAAGAGAAAGATTAAAAAGAAAAACAGTAACATCACTTCCTCATTGAATTCCCTCCTTATAAGCTATACCATTCATTCATTCGCTCATTGTATCGTCTCTTTGTAAAAATACAGCGCCGCATTAAGCGATTTTTGACTTTACCTTTCTTTATCACCAGAATTCTGAAAATGGTATGCTACTCAACAATGACGTCTGTTTCTCGGCACGTATTAAGAAATTGGGGCTAATCTCGTTTGGATAAATCATTCGCTAGGCTTAAATCACTGTACAATGTAGTACATGTGAATACTGTGTTTTTTTTTGGGCATCTCAAAAGTCTCCGGTACATAAACTAGATGGCGCTCCTTGACGTGAGCGCTTTAAAGAAGAAGGAAAAAAACAAAGAGAGAAAAAGCTGAGTATCCGCTTGAAAAATAAAGGAAAATCAAATTGATTATCGTGACGAGGCTCAATCGTATGTACACGCACGACGTACACGAAGATCGTTGACAAAAATGAAATACTGATAATATTTGCAATCATAAACACATGCGTGCGCATGCGCGGTAACTCTTGGTTATATACGTGGACGACGATATCAAATGATTCTCTCATAGGTTGGATTTTCGGCCATGTATTCACGTGATCGGCGATCCTGTTTTATTCGGATGAAATTTCTTTTGTCACTATGTTTATTCGTGTTTATTAAAAGTAGCTACTCTACTGTCTTTATCGATGCTACGTGTAATTAAGGAAAGACCGTACGATGTGTCATAATTGCTGAGATTTTCTCCTTTAAACGAATATAAGAGGAACAAGGAGGCTGGTGTGATCGGATTATTATTGATTTGTGCTTATAGATCGAACGCAGGAGGAATTTTAAGGATTTTTGTAGGTACGAAGGATGGGGAGAGGAACGATAAAAGAAATCCAGAAAGACACAGAATGACACATACACATAAATTCATAAGACCGCGCGCATACACGCACATAGATGCCATTTGTCATATGTTTAGCGTACTATTTTCGAAGCACCTACGAATTTCCCTGATCTGTGGAAGTTATTCACGTTGGGCTCCGACGACTGGTTATTTGTTTTAATTTTTCATTGTATCTTGTTTTCTGGATGCTCTGCCTGTGAGAATTTTTTTAAAGATGTCGAAATAATAAATAAACTATACGAAAGCATTTTAATACCACTGTTCTCGATCCTGCTGCTTGTACTATTCTGTTATATCGGATGCGCCATAATTCACGATGTGTGCACCTTGACTAATTAAAGTCTGCATATGACGAATGGCCCCATCGTGAATAAGATATTTTTTTAATTCATATGAAAAGGGATACGCGAAGAGATTTACATTGGTTTATTCGAATTTGCTTTATCGAAACTACGCTAATTGCCACACGACTACTATACTATTACTGCTACTGCAACTACTGCTACTACTATTACTATTACTACTACTACTATTGCTATTGCTATTGCTATTGCTACTGTCTTAATTAAATATGTGACTGCTTAATGGATTTTCAGCCGAGCAATGTGTCGCCGAGAAAATTAAAATGAAAACAAAAAAAAATGGTTACCAAGGAAACGTAGTGAAATGGAGGAAAAAATTTTAGAGTTTCAAAAGCTCACTCCGGCTAACTAGTTTAATTACTATGCAATGATTTTTATTGATAACGAACGAAGGGGAAAGTAATTGAAGGGAAAAATGATATCGAGAGAAACAGATTAAAATTGAGGTGATAATTTTAATAAAAAAAGAACCTGTCGGGTTTTGGTCAGGATTTATTTTCTTCTATGGTATAAATACATACAGTATTGTCATATGTATACATCCACACGCATGCACACTATTTTTCATCGTAATCGTCATGATTCTCAGAATCTTTCCTTTATCATGACATCGGAAGAGGAGATTATGAGTGGAAAAAGATACAAAATTTTGCTTACGATTTTTTTGTCGTTCAACTCTCTGTCCCTCCGGATGTATTGTCGCGACTGACACCATTGAAAATTAATCCTTTGTCATTGTACGGATAAACATAACATAGCATACCGAGGAAGGGTAGAGAACAGACAAAGAAAAAAGAAGCATGGAAATATGCGAAACAAAATGTAATAACATAGAAACTTAGATCATGCGAGGCCCACTATCCCTTGCGCGTGCGCACAAGGGAATCATTGTCTCCGGAAAGAACGGAAACGACGAAGATGATGAGGACGATTCATGCCGGATATTAGGTGTAGCTTTGTAAAACGATATTTCCTCTTAAGATTTTTTTGCATACATCAAAAGAAAAAAAAAGTGAAAAAAAGTGAGATTGTGTTAAGAGAGTAATAAATTTGTATAAAGTGGTGTGCGATTTTTCATGTGTTTCTCTCTCGTGTAATATGCACATTCGGTATTACGATTCCTGTTACCACTGATTTCTATGGAAACCCAATCCTTCACACACGTGTATAACGCATCCATATTTATTAAATATTTTTGTTATAATTGATTAGGGTGAAATAATCGTGAGGGTACTCTGCCACTTTTTAAATAAATAATTGTTTCAAATACACGTTATGGGAATACGTTATATAATGGAAGCTCGTGGCCTGACTGGAATTTCCTGTGATTCTAATTATGAATTTCTTCGGTTTCGTCGGTTGAATAAGAAACCGCAATGGTTTCTCGGTGGTTTTTATTTCGTGGCAGCGGAATCCCCAGTGTGCAGTACGTGAAAGTTCCGGTTTCCGGATGGTTTTTCGAAGAGGATGCTGAGGTCTGCGAATATCCTTTGATCTCGTTTCTCGATGTACTATGTCCAGGGAAAATTGGAATCGCATTTTGCGTAAGGGTAATAAAAACTTTACTCGTGATCTCTGTATTATCAAACAACAGTACTGCGAATATATATTTATAACTATACAAAAGGCATTTTATAGTGCCGTTTATACACCAACGCTCGAACGTGAACGCCCACTGCGATAAATTAACTGAGATAACGGCAACCGCTAGATCAGTACAAATAGGTAATATTTAAATGAACATTACAGTTTCTAAGGAATCCTTTCACCCTAGTGGAAGATGCCTAAACATAATGCGCAGGATAATATATCAAAGTTCTTGGACATTTTTTGTTGTTTTTTCTTTGGAAAAAAAAAAATAAAAATAAAACAGCGATGCTCACAGAACTGAAAACAATGTTGCTAACCGCCAATATCTCTAGAGTATACCGACGATTTGTATTTGGGAAATTACCATGTGTAAGTACGTACGCGTCCGTTTCCATGTACGACCGTCTACGTATATTTGCCAAAGGAAATGTTGTTCTGTGCGTAAGGAAATAAAATATACATTGGAGTCCTCTCTACGTGAACAGTTACGCGTGCGTGCATTTCTATGTATATCTTTATGTATCATTTTTTTTTAAATCGTTTTAATTAGTAGCATAATTAATTCTAAAAAATATTTCGGGAAACCGGCAATTTAGGCTTTCGATCGTTCTGATTATCGAAAATACTTTATACGTGAGAGTTTGCCAATAATTCTTATTTCTATTTTCTCTTCCCGTTTTTTCAATTGGCTCTTTTTGCTTGGTATGGTTGCAAATCCATTGCGGATCCTACAGCGTAGATGGCAGTACCGTTATTTAGTATACGTGACTCGAATAAAAACCTCGAGAGACAAAGAAATAAAATGGAAAATGAGAAAAAATAATTGTGCGCTCATCCCATTTCGAAAACGTATATCACGCATAGTTTTTAGTCACGTCATATCAAAGCCAAGAGAGCGTGCGGTCAAAACAAAAATTATAATTTTTTTTTTTCTTAATTATTTCGATACTTGATGATACCGATGATACTTGATGATCAATGATATCACGTGTGGAATATATACATATATATATATATATATATATAATATATTTATGTATATTCTCGCGGGTAAAGCTATCCATTTTGTACTAAATCTTTGGCTATCAACATAAAACTACGTAACTGTGATTCGCATGAAAATTTAAAACGCTGTCGAATTTTTTCTCGTTATTTGGAAGCAGACAAAAATCATACACCATACAAAAGAATAAGACGTAGCGAAGAACCTGATTATAAAAAAACAGAAGGAGACGCTTTTCTCAATTGGGATAGAACGCACGGTTCTCAATCGTCAGAATTCTTGACAATTAAATAATAACGAGTTATCATCGATATATCGAAGATCGTAATATATAATCTTACAGCAAGTATTACACCGTGATAGTCTACATAGGCGATGAACGACGAGCACGTGTGATACAGTTATAGTAATATAGTTAGGGTGTCTGTGCCTTCCTCGTGTACGCTACGTCTTGACACGTATTACGTAATCGTAATAGTACAATATAATTCATATTCGCACTGTTTACAAGTGATAATACCGGTATTCGTACTGTGGCGATTTTTACTTTTTTTTTCTCTTTTTTTTTTTGGTATCCATTCAAATTCGTCATGTTTGACCACCCTATAGTTGATACACCGACGGCGTGGCTAATTGTGTGCAGGAGTTAATCGTGAATAGTACGAATACTCGTGAAGTAGCAGATCGATACTCGCCGAGTATTCACAAGTATCAAAGACGTACGTCATTCTCGCAGGTAAGTGAAATCGTTTATCGTAATTCAATACTTATCATTCCCCCCCCCCAAACACTTCTTTTTTATACTTTTTAATCATCATAAGGCAAGTGGTCTCGGTGATTAGCGGCTATGTATAAAGAAAAATCATGAAAGTTCAAATTATAATCTTATCGATATCTCTCTCGTGATTCTCTGAAAGGCTTTGTCTTTTGTTTGATCCTTTTTTTTTTCAATTCAACTTCAAACTCTTGGATCTTATTCGTTCTCCTCATCCATCGCAATTGGTTATCGAGAATATGGTTTTTGGGGTATTTATAATTTTTGGATAAAATTGGAAGGGACTGGATTTCTGGTAATGATTGTGCTAATTAAAATTTCTTTTCGAGCGTAGAAAACACTTTTATCCACAAATTTATCGACTTGTCAAATATTTTCTTTTCCCCCAAAAACGATCTTACCTGTTCGCTTTTCTTATTCACGATCACTCAAACTTTTTGTCTTCACTTTCGAAATCTCTCTTAATTTCTTTCGTGACAAAGCGACGTAGTCGCTCTTACGCGATATTACATCACGTCACTTACTGACAACACGCCGTAGCGTAACAATGCCCGTGTTCCTCGTGCTAAGTGATAACAGTAAAGACGAAAAATGAAATTAAAGAATCATGAGTGCACTTTCTCTAACACGAACGTCCAGTTTCAAAAGGATGAATACGGCTCCGGGTCCGAAGACAAGTAAATCCGACGGCTTTGAAGTATATACTCGGAATCAAATAATATTTGTTTTTTTTTTCATTATCCCAATATTTTTTTCACCTTCGACTGTCAGAATATTAAATTTTTGATTCGGCTTTGTCAAAAAAACACAAATGAAGTAACGGAATAACGCGCTATACACGGCTCTTTACGTTCAATTTATTATAATTTAAAAATTAAATATATATATAATATATATATATATATATATATATATATATAATATCAATAATAATCGCGTTAATATTATAATATATGTATATATATAATTATCATCTATAACTTCATTAATATATTATTAAATCCAATCGTTATCATTAATATTATCATTGTTTTTTTTTTATCAGTTTCCTTTTCTTCTATACCTTTTAATGTTACGTGTATTAATGCTCGTTCACATTTATTCTCATCTCGCCCTCTTGTTATCTTATGAATCCCTTATCTTTAAATTATATCCATTAATAAGTATCGTGTGTTATTCATATTCTCACATACTTAATTCCTCGAACTTTATCTCTTATAAAGTACGCACACACATTTTTTTGCACAAACCGCACGCAGGCACGCACTCTCTCTCTCTCTCTCTCTCTCTCTCTCTCTCTCTCTCTCTCTCTCGTGTCACCGTGAATCGCATTAGCGGTAAGTGTAATGGTGCTCTTCGAATAATAATCCCTTTTTTCTTCAATTGCACATTAGACGGTATCCGATAAAAAGAGAAGGAGCGCGACAAAAGTCCCTTTCGCTTCTTGGGCAGTAAAAGAGTGGAGAACGAACAATGAGAACGGAGAAAAAAGGGCAACAGATAGAAAACGAAACGCCGAAGAAAAGGAAACGTGTTTCCTTGGTCTTCAGTAATTGCGATAATTATTGCATTTAATTAAAAGGCCAGCGTCTTGAATCAGCGACGATGAATACGCACATTCGTTTCCGCATGTGTCGAATTGAAACACGAGATTGCTGACCCCATAATATATATATTTTTAATTATATATATTATATATATATATATATATATATATAGCCATGTTCCTAAGCTCACTTTTCACGACTCTCCAATACGCAAGAACCATCTTGAATCACATTGCAATAAATCTATGGCGGAACGCGGAAGTCCAGTTTAATTCTGTATCTCTGACTCGTTTCCGTCTCTTATCTTTCTTACTAGCTTAAACATTCATTCTCGTAAATAAATTAATTAATAGACTCATTAAGGTGACAAGAGTTCGCCAACGACCGAAGGTCCATTCGCATCCAGTCGTTTCGTTTCATTTTTATTCACATCATTCCTAACCCAGTTTCTTCGTGTCTCCTTCGAGCATTTCCGAAAATACAAAAGACAAAAAGGTACATGATAAGATCGCACAAGAAGATCACTCGACTTGAGGTGTGACCGACACTTACCAAGAACACCGTGGGGCTTCAAACATCGATTATTAATTTTTTTCCTATTTCTCCCAGAAACATTCCCTATCTGGAATATACGTTATACAAATTACATACGAAACATCGTGTTTTTTTTTAACTGTCTCGTTAAAAATCATTTTTCGCTTCTTCTTTTCTCGGTTGACACCCACGATAAAAATATAGAAACGGCTTCTTCTTCTTTACGGCTACTGGCACCTTGCCGGCGGTAACTGCTGAAGTCGAAGCGACCCTTTTTTTTCCTTTTTTCTTAAGATGACAAAACGGCGTACACGCTAGACGATGATCACTGCACTATGCAACAACAGGGATTGCTCGATATCGAAAGGGTCCTGGTAGACAACGGCAGATCCTGGCTCTCCGGTCGTTGGCGGATCGTCACCCTGGCGCACCTGGGCTATTGGTTCTCCAAGGAGTAGTGTCGTGACCTCTTCCAGAAGCTCTTGAAGAATCCCTTCTTCTTCGGGGCGTCGGCAGTCTCGCCTGCAACAGTTAAAGAGAACAGGAACACTCTCAGTTCGGGTCACGATAAGACTGTGCTGTTTGGTCATTTTCATTTTCGCATGACGCGATGTGAATACGGCTTAAGGATATCTGTCTCTCTCTTTCTCTCCTCCTACGCCAGCAGAGCCCAGGGACACGCGAGAGCTGCGCTTCGCTCGTTTCATGTATTTCAACCACGTTTTGAGGCGTGCAGTATATTAAGCACAAGGGACGTCCTGACAATGTGTAAGGTTGGTACGCTGCGACGCATCACAAGTGGCGACACTTCCGCTTGGCACATCCACCGATTATACGAACACTAGAGAATTTAATTTTTACATATTTCCCGTGACTGTATTTTCCGTCTTGTTAAGTTAGTCTTGATTTTGGAAAAGCGAATATACACGTACGTGCTTGGATCGGTGATCGATATCTTATGAAGGCCAGTTCACAATGGGTCTTCTTACGTTTTTAGGCGTTCGACTTCTTTACGAATGGTTAACGACGCTCTTGTCGGTTTTAAATGTAGCGAAACATTTCTTCAACTACATGTCGGATCGAAATTTTTCTTTTCTTTAGTTATAACGTACTGATAAAATACCGAAGGGACATTAATCTCTTGCTGTGTAATTATTATTTTATAATCAAAACACCGAGTACGTCAGTATGCGAGAATCGTGACACGTATTATTTTTGACAATTATTAAAGACCACGAATCTTATCAGGGATTACCCAATCGCTGAATGTCAGTTATTAATGTTCGCTTAAAATTTTCATATAATTCCCAGAGCTTGCAACTTACCGTTTGCGTGGTGCGTGACAAAAATTTATGATCGATGATAAATAATTTAATGAAATTCATGTATCGATTACTGCATACAGGATGGCTGGTACTGGATGTATGGGAATTGACAGAGCGAATGTAAGATATACTGGATCCCCGTGGAAGTCGGAGGATCAAGAAATGATTTTTCTTTGGAGTGGAGAAATCAAAAATAAAACCACGAAGTTGGGAAATCGGGAAGGAAAAACGAAAGTGAGTTCGCAAAGTTGCTGAGTGGGAATCAATACCAATAGTGTACCTATACATCTGTACTGTACGTTCAATTCAGAATCTCGGGTGTGTCCGGATCTTCGGTGCGCAGCATCCCTTCAATTTAACCCAACGTGACGACACTTGTATTCACGATTTCGCCACTATTCTCGTAAATGCGCTCCTAATCCTATTTCTGAACTCCCATTTTCCTATTAATAGGACAAACAAAGTCGTCTTTCTGGAGCTACATGACGTTTACGCGTGCATCATGTGCCTCGTGGGGCGAAATCCAGGTTATTAATTGATTCGTCGCAGTAGAACTGGTGGATAGATTCCAAAGTGCTTACGTATAATAAAGTCGAATGAAAATTCTGACCTGAAAATTCAAGGATTGAATTTGACATATCCGAAAATGTCCGGTTTGCATTTGTCCCTCAGTTTTTGATAAATAACGGTGAAAGCGGCGTCGAAATGACATTTAACCTTGTAGAATGAGTCATTAGCTTCATTCGGAAAAAAAAATATTTTTCAACATTCCTACTATAGACGATTTTTTTAGTTCCTTTAATCCCAGTGGAACATCAGGGCCTATTCCTGTGAGAAGTATCCCACCAATTATTTAGTATCTATTTTGAAAGGCATTTATGTTCTTCACTGTATGACACGTAGAACCGATTTACAACGTTAATTGACTCTCTGGACCAAATAATTTTTAACATTTCGCGTGTGCAATTACTGTAACAGATTATGTTATTTCGACGTTTTTTTTTTTTGCTGCGATATATTAAACCTAACTAAAATATTATATCAATTCACAAGAAATATCACTTAAATTCACTAGACATGTCTATATGGGTTCATAGCAGTTAAAGGGTGAACAGATAATCATTATGTCGATTTAATAAGTGCAATAGTACCGCGTGAAGTTGGCTCTATGATAAAAAATCAAAGGAGCAGACTTATCCGATTAAATGGATAATTAATCTGCGTATGTTTCTGTGAACGCACGTGTTCATATAAAAACAGTAATAAGACGTAGACTCTTAATGGGAGAAGGAATGACGTTATTTTATAAAGAACTAATTTTTACAAACGTTACCAGCCTCGTTGCTGGACAAATTTTCAAAATCTTCAAATACACAGCTGTATCCTATTTCCTTTGACTTTCCGTACTTCTGCTGCTTTACTTGAGCCGTAGTACCGTTGGAAAATTGGCCAGCAACCAAATACCGGAAACTTCTATTAATACAGTCGACGTGCAAATATCGACTGCCGGGAGGGTTCGAAAATTGAAATTCTTGGAAAATAGTTGGATTTCTTTTTACTAATTATGGAAATTCTTCACCGTGATGTTACTATTAAATGCCCATGGAGGATTGACGAAAGGAAAAAAAAAATTCGGACAATCAGCCGTTCAGTTATCGTACATACGTGAATATCTTTACGCTCGTATGCCTACATGATAGATCGATCGATTGTAGCTCGTAAGTTAACTGAATAGTTATACTGGCGCTATTGTATTTTTTAAGAGGAATAAAAATCACTTGGGTCGCATTACTGAGAATCGAACGACAAATTCGAATTCCTGTAGCGTGAAGTAGGAGTCGCGTGCGTTTAGCCTTAAAAAATAAGCCATCCGCTCGGTAAGAGGTCCTGCCAAAAATAGCCTGCTCATATTAATAGTCGAGGAATCCGCCTCTAACAGACATAGAGAGAGTGTTGCTCTTCGGTAGGGTAACTCCAACACCGACAGATTACAGGCAGTGGAAGTGCAGAGTGGAAAAGATATTTTCGAGCAGGAACGTAACCTAAGTTTACACGAGGACGTTAGTCCTGTGCTCGGTAGACGATTTACATGTTAGCCATACTGCAGGGGTTTGCTTGAGCCTAAGCCGAAAATTTATAGAATGTCAAAAGTTGGTAGGAATATTTTTTTAACTGCGAGACCTACCACGCCCTGTGCTAAACACCCTGGATATTCTCGAGGATCCTTTATGAAAGGTCCTACGTGTACTATCTCCGCGGTCAAAATGGTCGTCATGGCAACGAGTTCGATCGGATTCGAATTCCCCGTGTTCATGCGTATATCCCATAAATATTATTTCAAGCATTGCCTAATTTTAATTAAAATTTAAAACAAGGGACAGGTATACTATATGTTTATTTGATTAGCGTGTTTCGGTAGCGGTATGATTTTTTGAAAATTTTCCAACGACCTCTTTGGTTTATTTCTGTAGTGGAGATACTCTCTTACGACAATATTTCGGCTATTTCTTATTTCCCGTTGACGTAAGGCTGCTGAGAGTTTACGTAAAAATAGGCACTGTGCCCCTAAGGGAGTGCTTAGGCGCGGTGCGAAATTCGATTCCCTTTAATTTTTATTCCCGGAGAAGTTGCGCGGTCGATTCGTTTTTACTGAAAGAAAATCAAATGTTAACAGAAACTTACCAGAGTAGGGGCCTGATGGTAAAACTGTATCTTTGCCTTTACCCTCCTTGCTACCACTTCCTATAACAGAAAACGATAAATGTCCATAGAGTACCAGCTGCTTGTAATTCTACAAGCACTAAACAATTGTCTGGCTATAAAAGGTGCACTAACATCATAGTTTCTAAAAAGGCGATTGCTTTGTACATCGAAAGTAAGGCAGAGAAGAAATATCTGGACACTGATCTATCCAAATTAAAAAGTTAGTGCCGATGCTAATGGGACGTTTTTTTTTCTCAAAATTATACATTTATGATCCCTTTTGTTCCCCTATCTACGTGATCGACGTAATCAGTGAAAATAATCATCCTGCATTGCATACAATCAACCACAGGATGACTGGTAAAACCCATTTTCAATTTGATAAGAATTCAAATTTTTCAAATAAAATCACTGTTAAGGTGATGCGCTAATGTATACATGATACATGTTACATCATGTATACATGTATACATCATACAAAAGAGAACCGGTATGTCCCGTAGAACAAGGATTTTGATAGTGTTCTGTAAAACTGGAAATATTTCTATAGAAACACTTAATCGAAATCCTTGTGTTATATTTATTTATAGATATAGGAAGTAAAAAAAGTGATCAGGACAGCATCATAGTCCACGCACGATAATATTGGAATGCTTTCAGCTGATTAGATATAAATTATCTCGTATCCTGCTGGGCTCAAAAAGGACATTATCTAAGAGACATAATATAATAGAAACAAAAAAGACACATGCATGTCCATTCACTGAGAATTGAAACATTCAAGAGCTTCTGATTATTCCGCTTATACAATTTTCTCAAGTTATATCCAAGTTTTCAAACGGTCCTTTAACCATATTTATTCATCCTTCAAAGTTTAAGGTAGTACGTCACAGTTTGGCTAAATAAATGTCAAATAAATATCTATATATGATTTGTTTAAATCCCCAAAGAAATGTAAAAATAAATTATATATAATATTTGTACAATTTATTTAACCCTTAACCGGTTATCTGGGCTCTCGATGACCCCAACGTAAAGCATGATGAACTCTACTGAAATGTGACCGTTGAGGTTTAATACTAGCAAATAATAATTATTCTAATAAAAAAAATCATAATGTTTTCCAACATTTGTTATACGGACGACGATTGACTAGTACTAATTGTTAGTTTCACCGTGTATAAATACGTTTGCAAGGCTAGTGGTTGAACCTAACCTTGGAAGAGCACGTGGTTACTAGCAGTTACTAGCATCGAGTGTATAATTTTGCTAAATAGAAATTGTTACAAGTGAAAAAAAAGTATAAGCTACGCACTGGCAGACGTTTCGTGAAAAAATTACCTGCAGAACAAATTAAAGGGGTATAATTTTGCAAATTTTTTCACGCAATATTGCTTCGCCACATTTTTCCCCAGCATCCACGGTTCGACAAAGAGCATCCCAGTGGAAAAGACATGGACGCCCCATGACTACTATCAAACAATGATTTCTCCATTATTGTACGGTATGAAGTTTTCCGCGAGCATACTTCAATGCATGGGTAAACTTAGTAATTTTTACGGAAATCAAAGACGCTCGATCAAATACAGCCATTTTTCGCCCATCGCCTCAATTTTACCTAACTTTAATAAATAATATCTCAAACTACAGACGCAGTACGTTCAGCTCTTTCGATTACGAAGAAAAAGCTGTAGAGGTCCATTTAGAGCATAATTCTTCCGTTACATCTTAAGCACTTCTTATATTTCCTATATTACGGAAACCAAAGCCATTAGTCAATCGGCAAATTCCGAATGAGCTGTCAATATGTACATTAACTTGTGGTACGGGACATATATGTGTACAATGATACATGTAGTATATACAAAAGTCATTAATTCCACTAACCAATAACAGGAGATGCGAACTTCTTAAGGAAAAGTCAAGTGTCAGATATCGTGAATGGCTAACAACGAACTGTTACATAGACTCTATTATTGGCTGTTATAACGAATGGCTATCGGGTAAAAGGTATTTCTTTGATAAAAAAAAAAAAAAAAAATCTTGCAATTCTAGCATTCAAGATATTCCGCTGAAGTTGCACCTGCACCGGCTCAATCGGAGCGATCGTTTAAAGGCACTGTCGGCGGTAGAAATTGGATCGCGTGATGAACTGACATTATGTTTGGTAACATCATTGAGGAGAGTGACGCTACCATGATCTAGGATAATAGGAATCGATTTCCGGCCTATAGTGCGATTCATTCAGTAGCATTCGACCAAACGAATGTGAGAATTTTCGTTGAAATATCTCGCCTAGGTAGGCTGAACTGTTCCATTTTGGAATTATTCCAAGGGTTCCCTTTATTTCGCTGCATATCGCTGGCAAATTTCGCGGAAATGAATGGCTGGTCAAAATGAAGACAGGGTCGATAGTCACTTGAATAAAAAATAAAAAGGAGACAAAAAAGCGAAAAGACCGGTCTACCCATTTCCCTACATATCCTCATAAGGCATCCCGCATACATAGACTAACATCTCCATAACTGTCTCTCTCTCTCTCTCTCTATATATATATATATATATTTACCGTGTCATGCGTGAAGCATACACACATGCTTTATAGTCTTGGCCATTTAATGGGAGAGATCTTGTCTAGTCATTCGCACGGCAAATGCAGCCAACGAACCTTTTCTGGCTGTTAGTACGAGGCATAACGTTTCTTTAAGATTCCCAATTTTCTGGGCCAAGGACCAATTGCCAGTCGGCCATTTTGCTCGCGAGAGAAAGGACTCTGCTTGGCGGACGGTTCGCCAGTCAAAAATGGAACGACAAGAGAAAATAAATAAATAACAATTTCGTGTCTCAAGTTTCTCCGTACTTTGAGCAGCATCCTGGTACGTATCTCATTAACGATCGATCGGCTAATTGAATTTTAATTTTCTATCTCCCACCTTGCGTTGCGATAATTTTGAAAAATTTGCCCAAAGTTCGTTGCGCCGCTGAGAGAGTGAGAGTGGTCGAGGTTACGAAAGAGGGCAATGCCGCGCGGGTACATGTGCTCCGGCGTCGGCTGCTGGGGGTGGTTACTCTCCCTCTGAATAAATCAATAAGTTCCCAGACCGAGCGACACACACCCTTAGTCAGGGCCGTGCCTTCTTCGAAGGGTACCTGGATCGATTCGCTTTGAAAGTGTCCTGGAGTCTGGGCTTCCTGAATTTCGTTCTTTCCCAGCAGTTAATTGGCATTACTTCTACGGCGTTAAAAGTTTTCCGATCACGATTGGATTCACGAAATTTTTGTTTATCCAATCTTTTAACAATTTTCTGTACAAGTAATTACCGAAATTTCTCGTTCCCGATTTTCTATTAGTTTCGGAATATTTTTCGAAATACTTTTCGGTACCGGCTCATAGTCGAATAAACATTAATGTTTTTTCTCCTGCTTCACCTGAGACACACTCGAGACACTTTCTTTACACAGTGTTTATAGCTTTTTCACGTGTCTTTCATTTTATTATTTATACCGTCATCGGAAAATGCCCGATCGTTTAACTCGGACGTGCTACTTAATTGCACGAAGGGTGGTACCGATAAGAGGGTATTTTTCAATGAAAGAAGTTCAATGGGTCGAGTTGGAGGGTTAGTTACTCTTTTTCACCCTTTATGAATGTTTCCCACAAGTGCCTATAGAAAACCTTCAATCCTCGACCCTTAAGCAAATCATATGCTGCTAATCGCTGTATAAATATATACATATACAGCGATAGACGACAACAGAGTCTAAGAAAAGAACATCTATACGACCGATTTTGATCTCTCTCGAAGATTTTCAATGAATTAAACAATATATCCGTTTCGTAAAACGTTCCCGGAGTCCTTTGAAAATCGGCAAAAGGATGCACGCTCGCAGCTGTTGCGCCGATGCGTGGGACACTATAAAGTCTCATCTATTTATAGTACAGACTCCTCGTAGCTTCGGGCCTTGGGGGGTATGGTATACTGGCCTCGTCACAAGTGCATATTCGTCTACGGCTGTAAGTACGTACCCTCGTGTACTTATGTCACGTACACGTATGCTCTAACGCAAGCGTAACGTCAATGGACATTTTCTACTCGGCAAGTTTTATAGTAGCTTGATTCACGCGTCCCAGAGGTTGAGCCGCCATACAAGTCATCTCTCAACTGTTACACATCCGGTGACTGATTTTCGGCGTTTCGTTCATTTTATAATCGGGAAAAAATAAATAAAAAGAAAAAACATTGAAAATTTGAAGAGCCAACACGATTTGTCGCAAGGTTATTTCATATGAAGATTATTCATTGTACCTAATTTTAAGCGGTCGCGTTTGCCAAGCAATAGCCCGCGGGGCAAGTGATACTGCGAAAGGATATCTAACACAGAAACAGTTGACGTTCGGATAGCTAAAAGAATAATTCGAAAGCCGCCGTGAGGCATCATCACGTTTATCAGCGACGACCAAACACCGACTCCAACGCTTCCAGGGTGTCACGTTTCACGGAAATCTCGCCTGACTCGTAAAGTTTCAAATATCGCGTGCATTCTCGAAATTTTCATCGCGCGCTCGAGTCGGGCATTCGTCTGAAGGCGCGCATTATCAAGCAATATCTCTACGATCCAGATAGATAGACAGTTAGACGGCCAGATAATAGGATGTTCGGGATGTAAAAAAATTTAGTAACAAAACATTTGTTCCATACAGGAAAGATAAAAATGATCAGTCGACAACGATGATAAGGATCGTTCGATGCTCGTACGTTAATACAACTAGAATCGTACTGTTATAAGCGAGTGAAACAGATACGATGGAAAAATAAAAGAATTTATGAAAACATTTTTTATAGGTGCAGTTAAAATTTAAATCTTTTAAAAAGACAAATATTGACAGAGACGTAATCGGATTTGGCTATCAGTGGCATACTTATCATTACAGATAAAGGACCTATACTTCCCAAATTGTAGATATACGGATAACAATCATAGTATATCATGATAGCGAATTAATAGATATTACAGCATTTAATGACAACGAGAAGTTCCCAGAAGGTCGAACTATCGTATGAAGCGAGTAGAGCTAGAGGGGGAATTTGTCCAGGTTATCTCATGATTCCCTAGCGACGGTAATGGTCCAACTCTTGTCCGTCAACCCAGAGTGAAAAGGAGATGAGAATATAAGTACTAAGGTAGTAGCAAGAGCGATAAACAGTTGGAAATATTACTGAGGAGTAGCACGGACAAGAACCCTCAAGAGTACGGTAGTCTAGTAGCAAGGAATCCACTGGAGTCTAACAAGCAAAGTGCACTTCTGGTGAAAATAAGGTAGGCTGACTCGTGGCCAAAGATGCTGACTACTTTTACCCTGTAGATATACGGTGCTCTCCGTTCCTAGAGAACTTCTCCATCTGGTACGTCCTCATTAGAGCAGCGGACGAGCGTCTTTTTATCGTTCTGTCGCCGGTATCGGATTTCAAGCAAAGGAAAAGAAAGAGGGCCGAGCAAAGAGAAATGCAGAAGTAGTGAACCATGATAACCTTGAAAACGAAACGCGATAACGGGAGATTCCAGTTCAAATGACTTTTCATCCTCCGTTCTATTTAACACGAACGACCGATGTTGACTGAATCATCGAGTCCGTTTAGGAAATTATCTGTTGATTAATTTTTGCATATGTCTTTTATTTTGTCAGCTCTGCACAAATCTTTTTTTTTCTTAACGAGGATTGTATTTCTTCGTTTTGCCGTTGATATGCGTGTGTTCCATGTCTCTTTGGCATTGGACCAGTGCAGCCAGCGCGGCGCCATCGCAGACCAACCATGGTCGAAGAAATGGGGAGATGCGCCCTTATGCAGGCACTTTTGTATGGTAAGGAAACGAGCGAGGAAACATAAGAGAAAAAAGTTTCTAGTATCATTGGTCACGTGCGTCGTCGCATCACAGAATTCAGCAGTCAATGGTCATAGTGACTGATATACCTGTATATTGTGTTTGATGCATTGTCGACAGGTGGACATTTGAGCGCAAATAATTGTGGAAAGTCAATGCCAGACCGTCCGCGATACGTTGGAGTTTATTGACGTTTTTGAAGTATGGATAGTCTGAGAGCGAAATAAAAAAAATGAAAGTCCATTTAACGAACAGGCCCGTTTAATAAAGCGATCGAACGTGTCGTGATGAGTTTGTTGGGGGACGTATAGGGTAGCATCTGTGTGACTGGCCGCGAATGGGCTTCGCCCATTCTCATCTACATTCGGAGAATCAACCCTTTTGTACATATTTTTATTTTTCACTAAAGAGCCCAGGAGAGTATATCGCTGGGGTGGCTACCAGACATATACTGGTCGGTGTGCCAGAGCAGACGGGAGTAACGATTGCAACCCCTCTGATTCCACCCTCGCGAACGGTCGCGGCCCTGACTTGCGCCCTTCAACCCTCATCCACCTCACGAGCGGACGTCCACCCCCATCGGGACTTACTGAACGTACCGAAAACATCGGGCACTGGGTAATAGGCTAGTTTAAAATCCTTAGCACTTGGCCAGAGATGTACCAAATTTATGGCAATCAAATTTTTAGTGTTTCCGGACTGAATTGCTATACTGGAATTTTCTGAAAAAGCTTTTCAAAATTGATCGGTCGTGGTCGTTACTCATAGACGGTGCAATTGTTCGGCAAAGATTTTTTGTGTATTCACATACGTACGCTATCATTCTATAAATAAATCATCGATAAGAAACTGCCTCGGGTTGCTACTATAGGACTTTTGTGCGGCTTCGTTCGGTAACAAGTAATTGGTAATGTTTAAGGATTTCACGTAAATAAAAATTCCATGGGAAAATTTTAACCTAAAAGTGTTCGGTCATAATTTATAAACTGTGGGATGGTTTTACGATGTTTCGAGTGTGACAGGAGAAACCGCGTGCTCCGCGAAATACGAAGGTGGCTCCTTTGTTCGTAGTAAGGCCGCCATTTTACATTTTTCTCGAGGATTTTCAATATTTATTTTCTTTATTATACTGCTTCGTCAACTGGCGCAATAGACAGCCAAGTCGGCACCGGTCACTGATACACGTTGCAAATTCTGGTGATTTATTTTATACGAAAGTAATTTTTAAGATTTGTTTGCAAAGTTGTATAAAAAATATATCACTTATTATAAGTCTGATTAAATTCTAGTTGTTTATCGATTTTCAGCATTGATCGTGATGCGATTATGATAAAAATAAAGAACCGTTCGCAGCGTGTAACCGCATCTAATCCTTGTCTCTCCTCACGATTTCAAGGTTGATTACATTCTGCTACAATGCTTCTCATGAACGCCGCTAGGCTACCGACGATGGTAACGTGTTCCACAAGCTAATAAAAAATGTTATACCAAGCGAATACTACGACACTAGTACCCTCTGACGGAAGCTCTGTGAAGTTCATTGCAGTACCCAATTCCGAACGAGAAGTATTGGATGAGCCATTTAAAAAAGAAAATATGTGTTGTAAAACCCATAATCATAAGCGACAAAAAATTTCGGGAAAAATGTGCGTCAAAATATTGGTTGTAGCTTTATATAGCGACTCAAATGGAACGTTGCAAGAGTACTTGAGTTCTTGAAAGTTCAACTGATCGCGGAAAGATGGTGCTGCCTCGACTTTGGCGCCATCTCTTGCAAGACTAACGAACAAGTAACAGCATCATAGAAGTAAACGGTATCCTATATAACATTAAACTTTTCCCTTTTCCATTTTACATCTGAAGAACAATAATAACGTTCAAATTACCCAGAATAAATTATTTCTACGTGAACGAAGGAGTTATGTACGTCTAACATGCAACGGCCATAGGCGCACAGCGATTACAGAAACGATCACACGGATAAAGAAGAATTATGAAAGCTTTGGATGACAAATAATCGTATTTATATTCAGCGAAATAATTTTTAAGCGTTCAATCACTACTAATGATAGATCTTTATGACTAATTATAATAAAGCTATTCTTGATTTCATATCAGTGCGATCGCAAAGGTTTTATTGCACAGCATGTTGGGCGAGGAAAATAACGCAGAACGCATACGACACGAAGAATGTGAGATAAAGTTTGGAGTAACTCCAAGAATCCATAGCACCAGCTACTAATATACTAATCCTCGATTAGAATCTTAGTTAGCACTGAATCTACAGATCGCCTTTCTACCATTGTGCTAATCAAGGGTTAATTAACTAGGTGCTGGTGTAATCGGTTCTAAGAGATACTCGTGTGGTAGCAAGCATTGCACATCGAGAACCCAGACGGAGTACAAGCCTTTCTATACTTGCTGGTACCAATCCAGTGAATGGAGCTCGTATGCCACGAAAGGTCACATAGAAGAGGTTAAGAATAATCCGTGAGAATCCTTTTAACGCGATATTCCCACTTCCCGTTGCCCGCAAACGGACTTTGCGTAACGTATTGCCAAAATATCGAGGCTTATTCCCACCGTCAAGAATCCTAATCGTGATATCTGCCGAAATTCTTGCACTTATATTGCTAATAATTAATTAACACAATTGGTATCATCGTCCTCGGCACAATACAATAATTGCGTATGACATCATAGATTATAATGTATGCTTATAATCGACAGCGCTTCGTGCACGTATTTTAAGTCTTTACGATGTTTAAATTTATCAGACAAATGAAAATATATTTCATACAAGAATCCTGATCCAGCGAATCAAGTGACGGCATACCTGCAGATTTAATCAGAAATTATTTTGGCATATTTATTATAACCCTAATCGTAATAAGAATCGAAGTGGCAATCGCGACTTTACGTACGATATGGAGGACGCGTACTCCTAATCACGATTATCCGTAGTGAGGATTAATTAGCGCGTTTCCCGACGCTTACCTTTCTTGATGAGCAAGCTAGTGACCCTCCGTAGCGCCTCGCGAGTGCTGGACGCGGAGCTGTGCTTACTTTGGCCGAAGTATTTGTTGGGCGTGATGTTTGTCGGCAAAGTCAATGGCTTTCGCTGTTCTCCAGAACCAGGAAGTCGTCCGTCATATGCATTATTCAGACGCTCCAGATGCTCGATGGAAGCCGGTCTAGGCTGATTTGCCTTCCTCGTCGGGTACCATCCGCGATTTGGTCCACCGGCAAGTCTCAGTAACTCCGTTCCAATAATCGCCTGTTCTAGTCCCGGATTGTTTCTTCGATACCTACAAATTAAATAATCATCATTTTAATTATATATTCAGTAGTTGATTATTTCTTACTATATATTATTTATATTATATTTACCCAGTTGTCACAGTAGTCGGTGCGTACCATCCAGGCTGCCTTCGTGATTGCCCAGGATTACCGGCATGTTGAGGAGTGCGTGGAATATCACTTCCTCGAGCGAAAACAGGAGTTTCCGGCAAGGAGCAGGACGTCTGCATACCGGATCCTGTTGCGATGCCGGTACAACCAGCGGCGCCGGCAGCGCCCACTGCACTTCCGCTCGAGGTGCAGGCTTCTGCAGAGGGCGAGTGTCTTTTCGTAAAAGGTCTACGTCTCGATGGTCCTGGCAAATCTGTTGGAAGGGTTCTTCTTTCCACAGGAACCTATAAGCAAAAGATATAGTAAGATTATTTATGTAATATAAAAAAATAAATTTTTTTATTAAAATCCATCGTGTGAAAATCGAAGCGAAAATCAATGTCTACATAATCCGGGTTTACGGTTTCAGATGGAAGAGACTGAGAGAATGATCTGTCTTGACATTCAGCATTTCTAGATGCTTTTACAGAAATTGCCGGAGATAAATTTCAAAAAAAAAAATGTACACTGGAACTTCGATAACTCAAATCTCAAGGGAAACGAAATATGTTTCGAGTTATCGTAATTTTGATCCATCGGGCTTTTCAAGTTATAGAAGTGAAGCATTAGAAAATTCGAAGATTCGTAGCTTTTACAGGTTTTTGACTTATAGAAGTTCGACTTATCGAAGTACCAGTGTAATTAAAATTATGTGAATACATATGAGACCAGTTTCGGGGTCTATATATATAGGCATATACGTGTTATGTATATGATATATACTGGGTGGTCTACTCGAAAAAGTATTGGTTTTAGAAAAATCGTATATACACTTTTTATACGCAATTTTTTATGAGGAACTCTTCATGAGCACTCTTTAAGGGCATACATATAATATGTGGAACATCCCGTATACACATTTGTGTCGATAGAACAAATATGAGAATAGAAGAAAACTGCTGAGCAAAGCAAAGCCAAAGCAAAAGTTGCACCGTTTAATCTTTTCATAGGAACTTGCAATATTGTATTTCCGCGCGACTCTGTACAGGCTGTGCAAACTTTTCGCATGGGTGTAGCCCAAATAATATTGGTAATAACAAGTAAAAATAGAAAATTGCCATAGCTATGTGTATGTATACAATAGACAGAACTCTTTGTTCTTTCTCGCTCTAATAATAAAAACTACATTACTGAGAACACAGAGTTTCCTCATAGCAAGTTTAGAAACAGCCCCCTTATGTCAAACCGAATTATCGACCAGTTCTACCAATATTTTGTATTCGCTGCATGGCTCAAGTGGTGAAATTTTCGATGCCAGCTGCAAATCCTATGGCCCGCAACCCGTTTGTTCGGTATGCGAGTCATTGCTATATATGTATGTCTATATCTACCTAGACGCTTATTGACCGATCACGCTGCAGTTTACTTTTTTGTCGTACATATGGTAAATATAGAGGATATTATATGGAAGTTATATCGATGATTTTCTCACAGAGCCACCACGCCTAATTAACGCCCTGTTGTTTTGGATATAAATAATTAGGATACGCCGACAATAAAAAGATTCTCTCGATTTCGGTTAAATGATATAATATGCATACCTTTACAAGGACGGTGTTTTATTTATTTTAATATTCTTTTTTACGCGGATTCACGTTTTTCTGCTTGAATTCTGTGAGAAAATGTATAAGTATATTCTCAATAACTTCAGGAAAAATTGGTAGAAGGATTTCCCATTTGCAGGTCCTATTTTTCGGTTTTTTATTTATTTTCTCAATTTCCACTGATTTTTCATTCTCTTTCGAAACTCCCTCAACTCGGCATTCCCTACATTCACAAAGCACCTTCCCGGCCCCCTTAATCTTTTTCCGCCTCTTTTACTCCAGTTTTGCCGTCTTGGCATTTTGTTATCGTGACCGTCCATTATTAGATTAAAATTCCGACCCGTCGTCTGGGAGACGCCCTTACTGCTGTTTTTATAAAGGCGCCGACCAGCCATTTTAATAAGGAAAAACTACATCGATATTCTTAATGAAAAACTTTGAGTTTTGCTGTCGTTCCACTGATCCTTGTCTCGCTGCCTAATATTCCTTACTTTTCTCAGAGTTTTTTTTTTTTTTTTTTTTTTTTTTTTTTTTTTTTTTTTTTTTTTTTTTTTTTTTTTTTTTTTTTTTTTTTTTTTTTTCTTCCATACAATAACACACTTGCAAAACTTGTTAATGGCTCTTAGGAACACGGCGTATTTTCATTCGTTCGTATTACGAGATTTATGGGATATTCTATGATTTGAGGTTGCAAATTAAAGAAACAATAAAAGCGACGGACCTTCGACCCTTATAATTATTTTTCCTCGTCGTTGTTTCAACATTAAAAAAGTAATTTTGTCAGCGACGCGAGTTTTCATATCGGCCTCGCCAACTGAATCGCAGTCTCAAGGACCAATCATTGGAAAAAAAAATTGCCAATATTTTCGAGTCCGAGTTACAATGAACCATCCAACCGCTAGGTCACCCTTTGAAACCCCCACGTACCCCCACTGCCTCTTGGCGCGGATTCACCAGGTTCTCGACCTTTTAATGAATATTTCATTTTTCTAAGGAAAAAAAAGACAAAAATAATAACCATAGCCACCACAGGTACCTGTACATTCAAACTTTAAGGACGATAGCTCTGTTTGGCGACGTCATTTTCAGACACGTTTATGACCAAAACGGACATAAAACCAAGAAGAAATAAGAAATTGCCCAAAAACGGCTGCGTACTATTTTTCAGGATTATCCCATAAATGCTATGGCTGCGAGGACTACGCAAAGTCAAAATAAATATATATAAAAAGAGAATCGGTTTTCGTGCGCATTTCCCATTTATGGAGAGCGTGGATACCCAGGCCCTTTTCATTTATATTTTTTTTTCATTTCCAATTCCCTAGTGCTAGTCAATTATCGCCCACTACGAACGCGGTTTATTCATATCTTCATGGCGCGATAATTGGTCGATGGTAAACCATTAATTTTCACGTCTTCCGCCGACTGGAAAATCGCACCGTAAGCTCAGCAAGACGACGACTGGCGAATCGTCGGCAAAGTCACAACCGACGAGCGCTACCGTGTAAATAATTAAAAACATAAATATGTATCACTGAACTCTAGGAAAGCTCTATAGCCTGACTCTCCCTATCATTTTCTCCTTTTCTACCGTCTGCCAACAGCCATCCAGTCCATTTTACGGAAAGCAAGAATTTACATTACGGACATTGCATCACAATGCACTCGCGAAGAACAACATAGTACAGAAGCCCAAAAGCGTAATATAAATTTTTGAAAAGTGCAGAAGCTCTTTCGGGCATTGTATGAGACAGGTTAGGCTGGACGAAAACCAGTCGGATAATGGGGTGAGCATTACGCGCGTATAACGTAATAATACCCATGGGGGTGCGTGTTTGTTAGATAGGTCTTCTAATGGCGTAATTCGCCATAGGAATTGAGCTCGTGTCTGGGATAGATACAGCCCAAGCGAGGGTGAACTCTCAGACTACACGATTCGCAACCCTTAGTTCGTACTAGGTATATCCACTAAGGGTAGTAGGTATCTGCTCGTGAAACATCTATGTATAACGGCGCATTTATACATTATACTCCTGTCCGTATACCGAGTCATATATTATGTAGAAAGCGTGTAGACGCGAGGGATGTTTTATTTATCGCAGTATCAAGTACAGGGAGGGAGAGTCCAGCAGAATCTTTATTCAGTTTCAACCCCGAAAGACTCGAGCCCTAACTTCCATCTAGCAGCATGCCGAACTTTCTAGATGCGAAACAATACGCTCCGTGCTATACTATGCGCCGGGACGCCGAACACGATTAGGAAAAACTACTCCTCAAACTATCTGCGAAGTCATCGAACGTATCTTAGCGAAACTGAACGCCTTTCTTTTTCTTCTTTATCTTATTTCTCATTCTCTTCCCACTCCATCGCGCACATTCTTCTCCTGTCTCAGCTGTTTTGCAACATCCACTCTGATACCACCCCCCCCCCTGCAGACATTGCTATCTCTCGAATTTACTTAGGGGTATCAAACACTCCTAAAACTCGATTAGGGTCGAATTTTTTGATCGAACCGCCAGGGGTTAATACGAGACCTCTATTTTCCGTTGGATATTATGCGTGACGTTTAATTCACTTTGGTATTCTACTGTGCATAGTGGTCATAGAGGTCTTCTGGTATTTGGAGGAACAGCCTGATGAGGAAGAGACGAGAGTAATAGAGGGAAATATAAAATAAGCTATTCGTATGGGAGTTACTGTAAGAGTTCTTCACTTTAGTTTGTATCCTTATTGGAAAAGTAGCTTAGAAAGTATTATAGTATGTTATTTCCATGGAGTTATGCGCATATGGCGAAGGTGAATTAACGAGGCTGCTTTTTTGGTTAGAAAAATAGTGATACCTGATATCTCTTGGAAGATGTCCTTTATTTACTTCCTATGTCTTATTTTCCCTTAATTTTTGATAATTTCATTTTGAAAGAGTGCAGTAAAAAGGAAGAAATAATCATTAATGCTAATGTTAAGTAGGTGATGGTTACTTTTCTTCCTTCATGCAGACCTATTTTTGTTGAAATTTTTAATGTTTGTATCCTCGGTTGTGTGATTTATACGTTACATATGGGTACCGTGGACGACTTATTTGTACGCTCCTTATACGAAATCGCGCAAACCGACACTATTCTATTTTACGACGGTGCCAGATATTTGAGAAGAATTCTTTAACTCCAATAATTCCAAGTGGACTTTTTCCACGGCGAGTACTTGGCGTGTAGAAACTCTTCTCCACAGCAGCTATTTTATGTAAGGCGCATTTTCGTTGTTCAATGTCACACGATGCGATTCGCGCCTGAGTATGGTTTTTGGAAATTGAAAGAAAAGGCATTTATGGTAAATTCGGGGAAAATAAACGATCGTCTTACGTATGACGTATTTCAATCCCAGGATACAGACTGAAAGTTTAAACAGCCCCTTGGGAAGATGACGCCGCGTCCCATTCAATTTCCCAGTCGGGATTGTGTAGCGCGAATCTTCAACGTTCTGCCTAACTTTGCTTGTTTTCTTTGTCAGCTCTTTGCCAATTCTATTTCTCTCTTTACTACCCAGGCGGAGAGCGGACTATGCTTCGTTCTACAATACACAAAGTCATCCCTGGGTAGAGGATGTTACAGTTTCGTGCAAGTGTGTGAATATTTGCATTACTCGAATGGGGGTTCTTGTTTTTCTTTACCTTTTTCTTATTTCTTATTACTAAATTTCCAAGGTAATCAAACTAACCTCTCTCCTGGAGTTACTGCTAGCAGGAGTGCGTCGTCCTCTGGCAAAGCCAGCGTCCATTGATCTGGTGTTCAGTGACAACTGATGATCTTTGGACTCAGTGGAGCTGCGATGAGGAGGAACCCTTGGCCTGTAATCCATCGTTCTGTTCGAATGACTTTTACTTTTTGTAGAGATAACAGCACTGTTCCCCACGTCTGAACTCTCCTCGTCGGCTTCCTCTACGGGCGACGGCGGCAGCGGTGGAAATTCCAACACTTCTACACTCACCTGAAACACGAAAAGTTGATATAGAAAGAAAAGTCATTTTTAAAAAGGTAAATTATACTCGAGAATCAATTATTAGTAGACATACAATGCATATAATGGTAATAGTTTCTTCTCTGGTTGTTATCATCGATTTTACATTCATCGGTATTCATTCAATGCAATAATTAACGATGACGAATGATACAGCCGAATAATTCGTCGCGCTTTTCATGAATGACCATTGTTTTCCATTATTCCTTTTACCAAGCATCGCAGATCCATTGTACGGAAACGCAGTAGCCATTGAGAAGACTCAACTATTATCATTCCATTCGATATCAGGTATCGAATTCAGAGAAAACAAGAAATAGGAACAGAGTGATAGGCTTACCTGAAACTCGGGATTTTTCGAGTCCTCTAATATGGCGTCGATTACATTCTCAATTTGCTTTTGATCATTTTTATGATTCTCAATGCCATTCTGTCGCAATCTCCTGCCAGACGAATAGACATCGGAACTATTCGTCTTTCTTCGATCAAATTCGCCTTCGGAGGACGTTTTCGACGTCTCTGAATCCGAACTGTGCTGCTTCTTGGTACGATTGTCGAACAGATTGTCTACTACCTTGTTATCATTTTCGTAACTGTTCCTCTTTGATGACGATTTCGTCTCGCCATTACGCCATCTTTTACAGTCATAGGATTCGCTATTTTTCACACTTTCGATCTCTTTAATGGCGTCGCTAACTTTTTCCAATTGTCGCCGGTTCTCAGTCAGTGCCTTCTTCACTATCTGATCCTCTATCAATATATTTACCGGGATCTTAGTGTCCAATCTATCGTTTGCCGATCTTATTAATACCTCCTCGGTAACCAGTGTACTACCAGCTACTTTGCCATCCAGACTCTTGGACGTAGTCATACCAGCGAGGCCATTACACTCTCGTTTCTCTCTGAAGTAAGATCCTTTCTTCTTGAAGTCTTTTAAACAATTTTTCGCATGATGATTCGGATCATTATCATCTTCGTCATTATCCCGAGGCGATGCTGGCAATGGGGACAGATCAGTCGAGTTACGTTTTTTACCAATTTCCGAGTAATTTTTATTTAATGATAACTCCTGCTGCTCGTCGGGTACGTCGAGTTCTGATCGATTTTCAAACTCGTCATTAATAACTGGAAGTGATACGCCCCTCACGAGATCCGGTGGAACAGGAGGAGGAAAATCCGGCGGCGGTTCGTCCAATCCTTCCAACTTTCCTTCCTTAAGCAAACTCTTGATATTGTCAAAAGTGCTGGAGTAACGTTTAACGTCGGACAGTCGATTATCTTCGCAATTTTCAAAGGACAGACTCTTCGTCTTCGTCGACGTCTTTGGCAGAACTTTGCGTTCTCGTTTGCGTCCACGTCGTATGACGTACGTACCGTTCTTGGTAAGATCCTGGGGCCTTATCTGATCGAGATCATTCGTCGACGAGTCCGAATACGGGGACACGAGATCATCTTCTGTCGTTGACAATGGTGGATCAGGCCAATCATCGAAATCTCGCAATTTTGATGCCGAACCAACACCTGCAATAGATTAGACATTAGACATTTGCATTAACACTGAAATTAATACGAAAACATTATTTAAAGCTCAATATTGCCAATCAATGAAGATGGAATGAAATTACTTACTAGATATATCACTGCTCTTTCGTCGTCTTCTACCAACGACTTTGGTACTACCAGGTGCATAGAGAGGATCATCCTCGAGGGAGACTTCCCAGGCTATGGAATGTCTCTTACTGATCGGAGGTGGCGGTGGCAAGAGTTCCTCCAAGGAATCGTCCGAAAAGTGTTCCTCCTCCTCGGATTGTGTACGAAAGTCGGCCGAGTTCCTCGTAGAGAAGTCCGAGTTTCTCGTGGAGAACATGTCGGAGTACCGTTCCTCGGAGCAGCGGTCCGAAGTTCTACCTGAGAATCTCTCAGCGGAATCAGCTCGCGGTAGCGAGAAGGAAAAATCCAGGTTTCTAATGGAGAATGGATCGGACGTGGGTACCGAGACATGATCGTTCGAGCTTGCACTGGCCACGGCTATGGAGAAGTCCGAATGAAATCTCTCATTGGAGGTAGAGTTAGCGCGGGAAAAATCGGAACTATCGCAATTCGCTCTCATGGAAAATCTCTCAACACTGACGGAACTCGAGCGCGGTATCGATGAACGTTCCGATTCCGAATTTCGTGAAAATCGTCCCTCGCTCGAGTCCGAATTATTTCTGCGTCTCGATTCCCGATCGCTCGCTGTCGTTCGGCCGTGATTCGCGAGAAGCCGATGATCCTCGACGCTGCTGGATTTCGTTATTTCATTCTGACGACTCTGCTTTCGTGAATTTTGCGAATTTACAACGCGATCGCTACCACCCACGCTTCTTGTGCTACCCTCGTTTGGATGCTGGTGATTGTGACGATGATGATGATTTCTCCTACGTTCCGGCAACATGTCCTCCTCCTCGGATGATCTCCTACGCACCTCGCGGTGCCTTTCCACGGCGGCAGGATTGGTCCTTGGTGGTATCCAGTCGAAAGACACCTTGGCATCGTAGGGCAGACTGGCAAATTTATTTGGCGGACTTGGAGGTTCGGACAGTCGAAATGGTTCGATCTTTCTTGAGACATTTTCATTTTCCCATCCGTAGGGTCTCTGGTGTCTGGTCTTGGGCTGAAAGGAGACACAAATAGATATTAATGGGCTCATGATACGTGAGTTAAATTTTTCAACCTCTTACAGATCGTGACAAATTTATTTTACTATTCGTTCTTCGCTCAGGCTACTTAGGCTTACCAGGGTAGTCTGAGTGGTGACTGCGTGTCCATGGCCTTTATCGTCCATTGCAGCCATCCATTGCTGCCGTCCGCTTCTACGTCCTGAAGACTGCGTACTCCTCTTCGTTGAGTTTCCCGGGGAAACCCTGATAAAAATTTTTACATGCAGAACAATATCACTTTATGGTATACAGCTTATCGTCTTATCAATGCAGGGAGCACCGGTAATCTCCTTCACTGTGCGTATCGATTAACTTCAACCCGTGTGTTTTCAGTTTAATAGATGGGACCATCAAAATCTGAAGGCAATAGTCAATGTTGTCTGGCTGTTTTAAAGATGACTAATCATTATAATGCTTATTTCTATAGAAATGGCCCTGGGGCTTCTTAGACGTACCATTACGTATTTGTCAATAGGTAAGGGATTTACTAAAGAAAAAAGTAAAGGCTGAGAAACTCCGTTGAAAGACAAAAAAAAGAAGGTAAAAGGGGCTGGAATAAATTCCTCGGGCGTTATCAGAACTCTCAGGCTACTGATTCGCTTCGAATAGAGATGAAAGGTTGCGAAGAAAAGTTTGATTGTACCTCGAGGACTAGCAGCTCATAATAGTCGGCTGGCGAGAGGGAGGCAGTAGTGTCATTGAGGACAAACTGAAAGTCAACCGAATCTCTCGCTACTCTCCCGTTCCTTTTAGGCAATTAAAAGTTCACCAAAGAAATTTTATCAACGCTAATAAATAATCGACAATGTTCTCGGGTCCCGCGATAAAGTCACTGCTGTCGTTCGTAAGTAAATACTTGAAATAAATTTCGCCTTACAAGGAAAGAAAAAAGTAACGGAGGTCCTTGAGAAAATCCTGGAGGACAGTACGAAAGAAAGATGGGATACTTGAGGGTGAAATCTGCCGAATTCGTTCACGTGGACAGTGGCCAGTGCGCCACCCTGGAAATCCCTTAATCTATCCCGCGTTCCCTCTCTCCCAAACACTCTGACCCATAACGAATAAAAGTCCCCCCAGGGTGCTGGAAGAAGCCACGTAAAGTCTCCGGCCGAATAGAAAAGCCTGGTACCGTGTAGTAAGACAGGCAGATAACCATCCAGTCAAATTCGAATTTTTATTCGCGTTGAAAACACCTCCCTAAGGTTTTTCCTTCTCTCCTAAGTATCATCCCTCTTCCTAGTCTCCGAGTGCCAAAGCCTATGAATCAAATATAAATGAAGAACAGGCGGAGGGCGAAAGTGCGTATCTCCAACAAATCTCCGAAAAAAGAGAAAGAAAGACCATTGGGAGAAGATATGTCGAAGCAGTAGAACTGGCAGTGTCGCGCATTCGTTAATAAAATACAGGGTCATGGGATCCAAGTTGGTGAATAATGTAAAATCAATCAAACATTAATAAGCCTTGGAGAGAAAATTTACTTTCCAGAAATAGACGTCAGGTTCGAGCCAACGGAGCAGGAATTCAGAATTTGGATTTAACGAAATTCGTGAGCGCGAGAGGGACAACGCTATATAGCATACACACAGCTCAGGTCGGTCGCAAATCTATGCCGTCCCCAGTATCATTTATTTTGTAGGTATCGCTTCCAAAAAACGAATTTCTATTTATTCAGGTATTTGTGATTTTTCTATATCGCTCGTGGGTGCCAGAGATAAGGATTGCGAGGGTAGAACTATAAATTCGTCTTTCACATCCTTTACCGAAACGATACTACGTATATTATAATACGTGTATAGTATCAGCTCGTTTGTTTCCGTTTGTTAACAAGCTTTCCCGTACCAGAATCCCGATCAATGACAAGCAGAAAGCAAGGAAGGGCAAAGCTGTCATAAATAAAGTGACTTACATGGGGAGGAGCGTCGAAATAATACGTTCGGCTTCTTCGGGCGGTGGTGGAAATTCCGATGGTGGTAATCCAACTGGATCCTGAGGCTCTGGACAATCCGGAACTGGACGTAGTGCTACCAAAGCCATTTTGGCTTTACGTCCATTCATACTCATATAGCCGTCGTCTTCGGACTGGTGTCCTGTAACGGGGAAGAATAATTACATAGTTATGTATATACGAATGTTAATTAAGAATATCATACGTGACTCTAATCCTTTACCACGTAACTACAGTGATTCACGTAACTAGCAATCTAATTGCATGGAGCATATAGTACGTGCTGCAAAATATATATAGGTTCTATGTATCTAGTTATTATATATATGTATATACCTAAGGATGGGCTCTCGTCGTCGGGCGTGAGACCGATACTCGGCTCCGTGTTGCTACCGCAATCGCCAGCATTGACACTCCTGATGACCCCGACGACCTCTCCGAGTCCTCCGACAACCCCCAAGACACCACCTCCGACTTCCGCTTCCGTTTCGTGCTCGTCGTACTCGGAGAGCACCTTGTCCAGCAGCTCGATCGATCGTTGCACATCGTCACCTCTGGAACGAACGCATCATCCGATTCTATAGTGATAGTACGGGCGGGGAAATTTCTGGTGGTTAGGTTAAAAAATGATTAGACACGTCATGGTAGCCAAGTAGGTAGCTCCTATTATGCATGTCATAATGAATCTACTCCCTACATCCGTGAAAGTAATATGCGGATAGGTATACCTGACACTCTGGGTATTATCGTAGGGATGAGCGAAGCAGCTGGCAAACGTGTCCGGCAGGTTCGTTAGTGAGGTAAGAGAAGACGAAAAAGGGAAAAAGGAAATGGCTACGTGATACAAGAAGCCCTGACGAAATCACCAAATTTTTAACCTGTGCGAAACTATGTCTATCGTTTTTGATGGCGCGTTTAGTGGCTGCATGGACCAGTGTACTTTATCTAGGAAAATATATAATACACTGTAGAGACTGGTTTACTCGCTCACTCCACCTCCCGACCCTATCTCTCTCGCTCTCTCTCTCCCCCTGTCTTTCCTTCAATTTCTATATCTAGGTGCACCTTCCCTTCCCTCACTCTGTGTCCTTCAAATTCGTCAGTTGCAACATGGCTGCGTTTCCTACTGCCGTAAATAACATTAATTATGAAGAGGTTTCTGCTCACGTCAGGCTAGGGGCTGTCATTTGCCCCGGGTGGCTTCGGGATGACGGTGGTACTCGAGGGTGGCTGCCTGTGTTGGCGATTCGAAACAACCGAGTAATTGCTACGTTTACGTGCACGTTATGCAGCGGATGAAGGCTACATTATATTCTAACTTAGAATGCTTGTTAATTGCTGCCATTTTCACTCTTGAAAAATTATTTTGTTAATACGTGTTAATTGGAATTCAAATGTAATTATCGGCACGCGTACATGAAATCATGAACTAAAAAAAAAAAACAAAATAAAGATAATGTTGTTAAAAAGAAAAGAGATAAAAAGCGCGAGAAACTGAATTAATAAAGCGCTCTCAGGTCGAATTACGAGCTCGGTGTAGTTCAATATCGTCTTCTCACTGTTAATTAAAAAGAATACGCAAATAAAACGATAAAAAAGAAATAGTTCCGTGATATAATGAAATTCGGCTTTGCGCGTAGAGCTTTTTAGGTGAGTTATTAAATGGAAATCGGGTTAGCCGAGAAGGTGAGAAACGAAAGAAAAACTAGAACAACTTGCATATTGTTACAACGTAAAATCTTTTCCAGGTTGTTTTAACGACGAAAGGGCTTGAAAAAGATAGATGCGAGATTCGTCTAGATTCTGATATAGGTAGTGATACTGCAAAATTTATTTTGCACGATTCGTATATGGCGAATAAATGGCCTTGGCGAATTTCATGTGGTAATTTTCGGACTCAGGACGAGGGTCACAAAGTTGTGAATTATTTGGCCATAGGGAAGTGCCTTTTACGTGAAATGACACATCGGGGAGCTAACACAGGTATCTTCAGTACTAGGCCGTGATTGGGTAACCAGGAAGATACCACGGGATGCCAATCAGCAGGCATTTAATTAGGTGAAGGCATCTGGGTTGATGAGGGAAGCTGAGAGGAGCACGAGGCACGAGAAGACGTGATTCTGGCGCAATGCGGCCCCCGTACTTTAGCCTACAATCTCATTTTCGTACGACCCTATATCCTACATATACCTGATGATATAATGCATGATGTAGAGGGTGCGCAGATCACTGAAATACCTATGTGAAGTTCGCCCACAAGTTTCGATTTAAGTAATCTTTTTTTCTTCACGACGTTTGTCAATCGTTTACTAAGGTTTACACCTTTATTACTTTGGTTTCCACTTTTACCGACTTTGAGTTTCACGAAATTTAAATTTAAATGAGTCAGATGTATATTAGTTCCCCGATTTGAAAAACTGCGACCTTTTCAAATCTTTTGCCAGTCGTCTGTTAATCTTCTCATCTGATAAAGCAAACACGAAAGCTTCGCCTAGCTTAGCTTAGAAATTCTCGTATCTTGCCATATCTAGGCGGATATCTTGTATTTCTTTAAGGATACTGGGGTAGCAGGCACAACTAGTCAAGGCGTGAACCTTAGCGAATGATTACCAATAGATTCGTGAAATCTGAATAATAATTTGTTGTGACTTCGCGGAGTCGATTCAAAGTTTATTTTTTAATTTGAAAATGGCAGGTGTGAAAACAAAAGCAAATAGGGTGAGAACGTTTAATAAGCAATTAGCAAAAAATTTCCAAAAAGTTATTGCAATTTTCCAACGTGAGGGATCTAATGTGAATTTGCTCCCGAATTTCAATAAATTATTACTGAAATGCAAAGAAGGAGAAAAAAAATTTTCAAAATACAAAACTGGAGGCTAGCTTCATACAGGTCCTTCGAAGATACTCTTCGCAGGCGTAAATTCCTGCCGAAGATAAATTTTGCAAAAAATGTCGAGGCAAAAGTGTCGTGAACCTTAATGGTTTTCTTGATAAGGGAAGTTCAAATTAGTTCGATCAGGAATGTCTGACGAGATTGGATTCAAAACGAATATATAGTTGCACTTCTTGAAGAGTCAGGAAGTAGGTAGTAGGTACCTAAAGACTTCCGATCCCTGCAGAGCTGTCACAGGGTACTGCGCGTACTTTGACACTTGAAATTGCGAAAAATATCTGCTCGCAATTCCAAGTTTAAGGAAAATTCGAATATGCAATGAATTTTCTTACTTCAAATGAAGATAGTGCACGGTTGTGTCCGAGTACAACAGTAACACTTTGATTAATCGAACTTTAAAATTCTTCCGTTAATTAAGAAATTATTTTCATCGGATCAGCATTTTCTTATCCGCTTCGTCTTTCCTTCGAGGAATCAAAATTAAATTTCCAAAGCATAACCGGATAATAATCACCCTGTATATAGATTAGGTACACGTGCCGTATAGATACATACATATTGGATGCAGTATTTACTACACTTTATATACACAGTTTATATATACGTACTCCAACCCGCCATAATCACTATTATCAAGTGATTAGAGAAAAAAAAATTGAAAAATAGCGAATCCCAAGATTTAATCATCATTGTATCATCGGAAAAAATGATCTTTGCACTGACTGTAAAAATTTTACGAAGTCCGACGGACACGCAGATTTTAAAGTCCCAGAATGCCCCAAGAGAGTTTTAACGTATCTGCGGTACTCCATGTCCCCAACAACAGAGGGATATTTCAGTATGGTCAAAAAGCAGGAATAATAAAAGGGGACAGGGTAGACGTGGAGCAGCTCGGACGTGCAGGTGGCTGGTGAAGGGTGTATTCCAACAAAGGAAGTGACGTCTGAGCTTTAGGTATCTCGAGCCCGAGCCTTGTTACGGTCGATTCATAATTCAAGACTTTAATTGTCCGAAAGCTCGTAGAATTCCGGTGGCGCTTCCCTTCCTTGAACTTCCCAAGGAGCCCGCAACGTTCCCTTTATTTTCTCTTTACTTTCTCATTGATCGATACGCACTACTTACCTTACGCATCGCAATGACAAAAGACGTTTTACGAGAAATTTTCGAAATTCCTAGAAAGCTATAAACAATTTTCAATCTACAGTTTACATTACTCGACTATGACAAAATTCGTGTTATTTTCTCGAATACACCTACAGTAGACTCACTTCTACTTTACATACGTATACATATGTCGTATTGTACACATATTGTATAGTGTGCAGAATTGGGCCTGTATTGATTATCCAGTGACCCTGTTACGAGGTGACCGCATGGATATCGGCTTTCTATACATACTGATATACTTTTCTTTACGTCGTTAGTGTATTTAAACTCCATTTAGATTTAAATACACTATTTTTTTTTTAGATCCATATACACTCGTATAATTCCCACACGAAATGTATTTGGAGTTTAGACGAAGAGACTATTGGATTCTCGTGTTTTTTTTTTTTTTTTTTAATGAACGGTTCGAATTCGATTGTTATTTGGAGTCATGCGTGGAGAGTCAAAAATTCGAATAACGCCCGAGTATCAGAGAAAAGGATAGTACTGACAATTCACTAAATAAAAATTTTGACGGCATATATGTATATATCGACATTAAGAAATGCGGATCTTGTTGCGGAACGAAATAGTTCCGGTTGATTTATCGTATTTCGCGTTCTGGCATTATTACTGTTATCATTATTCGGTGAATATTTCGTCCCCACGCGTCTCTCTCCCCCAATGCCAGGAACCTTTCTATTACTTTGTATCCTCAGAAATTTATTCCTATAGATCGCGGGATTGACACGTTCGCCCACCCTGCGCCTGTAACGGTACATTTCGGCAAAATAAGGGAAACACCGAAACGTAAAAAAGTTTTCTCGTCCGCGTTAACAGCCGCTATTATCCACGCTTACGTATTTCTGTGCACTGATATTTACACAACTTCGGGTTATCCCGTTGACCGAAAAAAAAAAAAAAAAAAATTCGAAAGATTCGTCGATCATTTCCAAAGCAATAAAAGATATCGAGAGGAACGTCGTAGAGGAAAGAATGAGAAAGAAGGAAGAAGAACGGAAGTAGCAGCAAGTAGTTTCGGCTTGCAGAAGCGCCGCCCGTGGTTATAAATTCGAGAGACGTCTCAAACTTTTGTGCCCCTCCGTATTCAAGGAGAAGCGATACTTTACGAATAAGTTAACGTTATAGCTGTACGTCGAATCACAAAAATGTATACGCTTTACTCCTTATGTAAATGGTTCCCGTATTCCCATACAGACGCGCATTGCTCATCCAAGTCGAAAGGAGTTTGATAAGAGACGTAAATTCCCTCCTTTGAAGATAATTCACGTGCAATAAGTAAACCGAATATAATGACGTAGTATATCTGTGTCTCCGGTGTGCATGCGTGTATATCCCACGTGGGAGGGAAACTACGAGGGATAAACGCGCTTATTACAATGATAAAATCCTCTTCCGGTGGGAGGAACGGCGTCCTCTTGAGTCACAAACAATGCTGATTCCATTGCGAGTATCTAGCGAGCCGAGAGGCACGATGTTGCGTGAAAGGAAAAC